GGATTCCCCCGAATGAGCTGGTCCAAGTGACTGGAGAGAGGGAGGTCTGGGTCTCTCTGCTTAGGCTGCTGCCCCCGAGACCTGACCCTGGATAAGCAGAATAAAATGTACGGATGGAAGGATTGTGGGGGGATTCATCATAGTGCCTGCTGTACAAGCCTGGGGCAGTGCTGTGATCTGGGGTTGCTGCAGTTGGTCAGCTCTATGAAGCCTATTGACACAATGCCATGAATGTGTGCCATAATCAAAGCTAAATTCAATTCAATTCAAAAATACTGTATTGATCCCAGAGGGAAATTAGGTGTTGTTGTAAAGGTGGTCCTACATAATCTGTGTGACCTTTTATTTTTGGCAGCAACTTTTGTTTTGGCCATGCAGTGTATATTAGCTCTGAAGCTAACTCCATATGTAAACAGTAGCTTGTGAGCTAACACTTTATTTATTAGCACGGGAGCTAAAGCGGAAGCTAAAATGCTAACACTGAGGTTCCCCTTCATGAAGCAGCTCTGTTGTCCTCCATCATCATTTTCAGTGTCAGGTTGATTCATTTCTACATTCTCCTCTCTGTCAACGCGCTCCTGTTGAATATAAAATGTCTGAACGTCAGACATTGTCCAAAATTAACCTTTAAGTTGGAAAGATATCGCACCAGAGCACCTAAGCATCATCATTTACCCAGAATGCTTTGTGGTGTGAATAACGTAGCAATGTCTTTGTGAAAATATTTTTTTTTTGAAAACTAATCAGCCTACAGTAATTTTAATATTCTAGTCTTTTTACAGGCGAAGTAATAATGTCTAATGTTACAACTTGGAATTCCCTTTAAACAAGAAAAACCCAAGCATACCTGAACCTTTTAATGATAATTAACTGGTTAAAAACATTAAAAGACTTTAGTTTAGCACGTTAGCTTGATGGTTTGTGGATTTGGGTAAAGTTTTGGCCACAAGGTGTGTGCCCAATTTCATTCCAATCCTTACTTTTCCAGTCTTTTCCAAAGTGCTGTACGAAGAGTTAATTGTAACTGTAGCAGGATCTCAATGAGGTTTTAGCTGGTTCAGTTTGTACATTTTTACACTTTTTAAAACTTTTTTTGTTATTTCTCAGTCGAGATAGACATAGAAGATGAAAGCGACAGTGATGGTGAGTAAATCAAGCTGAATTAATTTAATCAAACGGCTTTACTTTAATCAKATTTCTTAATTTTGGTGTTAAAATAGACGGTGGGGCCAAGAGGAGAACAAACAGAAGACAGCCCGCTGGAAAAGGAGGAGGAAGAGGAGGTGCAAGAGGAAGAGGTCGAGGTAAAAAACAAGACAGTGATGATGATGAGGATGAGGATGAGGCTCCAAGGGGTCGAGGAAGAGGAGCGAACAAGAGAAGGCCGGCCAAGAAACGAGGAGGCGATAATGACGACGATGAGGAGAGCGAAGATGAGGCTCCTAAGAAGAAGAGAGGAGGTGCAGCAGCGAGGAAGAAAGGAGGCAAAGCTCAGGACAGCGACGAGGACGACAGCGATGATGGGAAAGGAAAGAAGGGAAAGAAGGGAGGAAAGAAAGGAGGGAAGGAGGATGAGGGTGGGAAGGGTAAAAAGGGTGACGCTAAAGGAAAGGACAAGGGCAAAGACAAGGACGATGACAAAGACAAGAAGAAGAAGAAGAAAAAGGAYGACAGGTGGGTTGGAAGAGGTAAAATCAGAAACAGGAAGTCAAACAGAGCCAACAGTTTTCTTTCAACTTTCTCCAGTTCAACTGATTCCAACACAGACTCCAACGAGGAGGAAGAGGAGTCCATGTCGGAAGGGGAGATGGCCAAGCTGATGGAGGAGGTGGAAGAAAAGAAGAAACTGATCGCCAACATCAGGAACAAACCCTGGCGGATGAAACGGAGGCTCACTGTTCTAAAGTAACGTCATGCCCGACACGCGACACCACTTTCTGTCTGAAAAGGATGTCTAAAGGAAACTTTACAACTCCTAAAAAACACTAAACTTTACAGGAAACACTGACTTACCCTGACTTGTCCAAGAAACTGAGCTGCAAAGATGATGTAATTTATTAAACTTGATTTTAAAAGTGCTAATAGAGCTGCAACCCATCACACAAAATAAAGGTTTGATTTTACTGTTTGCTGGAAATCATTGTGATCTACTACCATCCCAAATTTGAGCCAATCGTGTCTAAAAAGTTCGGAGCTATGGTCAATTTTGCATTATAATTGTGGCGGCMATCTTGAATTTTTAATTTAGCATTCAGAATTTGTCAAAGCTTGTTCTTGGCTACTACTTTGCCAGTTTTCAGCTTTGTAAGGCTGAATTAGAACCTTTTCTTAAATTAGCATTAGCAGTTAACTTGAACTTCTGTTTAAGCTAACGTTGAGCTTTCTGTTCTTGGATAAATAAATAAATAAATAAATAAATAAATAAAAAAGCCTAAACTTCTGTTAGAATTCAGCTATAAACCCACCAAATTTCTGCTTTTATGTCTTTAAAACTACTGAGTAATCTGGGTGCCATGTTGGGTTACATAAAACCCCTTGTTGTTCCGTCACTCAAAAGGCTATTCTGCCCAGTAACAGTCTCAGCCAATCAGAAGGCCCGATTGTGGTGTCGGTACATGGAGGGGCAGAAAGAATCTACATCACGTCACTTTTAAAAGGACAAATCTGTGAAAGTTTAGTTCAGACAACAAGTCGCTGTGTGAAAACTGTAAGGTCTATACAAGTAATCCTTGAACCGTGAGTGACCGAAGAGATTGGTTCTTACTCATGTAACTTTTCAAATGTGTACAGCACTTTATCTCAGAGATATGACGATATAATAATAGTTGTTTTGTGTCTGAACAGCATCATGACAAAAAAATGTACATAAAAAAAGATAGGAAGAGAAAAAATGTACATAAAAAAGATAGGAAGAGAATTGGTACTTCCATGACTTCTGACATACTTTTAAGAGAAAACCAGAAATATTGTCTGAAAGAAGACACAAATGCCTGCATTTTGATATATATTGTGTCTGTGTATCATGAAAATTGTGGATGTAGGAACAAGTTGTTCGCTAAAAAATATTTTAAAAGCCAGACAGCTCTCACTCTAGGTCACATGACTCAGAGTGTGGCAGTTGGAAGCTGGGCTCAGTGTAACCCTATGAGGTTTTTCGATGGTAGTTTTTTGCAATTTACGTTGCCATGGTGAGTCAAAATGGCACTAAAAGTAATTGCACCTCTCCCACTGCTGAGCCGGTCGTATTGATGTAACATTTTTAGGGGTGCATGTTGCCATTTGGGCTGCATTACGACTATAAAAATAAAGATATAAAGTATAGAGATCCTTTTTTTGAGGTGGATAACAATAGGTGCCTCCGTTCATTTGATATGGCAAGCCCTGATAAATGGGCAAAACTGTATATTTTATGTTTTAGAATTATTGTTTTAGTAGATTTATTACAAGACACAGAGACAGTACAAACAATAAAGGAGGAAGGCAATCTACTAACTCAGCTATAACAGTTTGTAGAAATAAAATTGTGTCATCTGCATATCGTTTTAGTTTGAGTATCTGTGTTTTAYTCAACAGGGAGGCTCAGCAGTTTGTGGATAAATTTGAGGGAGCTTTGGGAAAAGGAAAAGGCAGGAAGTGGTATGCCTACAAAGTGATGATGACAAAGGTTTGGCATCAACCTCTAGCCTTTGGTCTCTTTTTTTTGACTCTTACGTTTTTGGTCTATAACTTTCTTTTTGTTTTCATGTGTCAGAAATGGATTAARTTTCAAAGGGATTTTGAGAATTTTAGAACTGCCTGTATTCCCTGGGAGAGGAAGATCAAAGAGGTCGAGAGTAAGTTTTGTCAGTCAGTATTTTAGCAGAGAGTCTTTATAAAAGCATGCTGTGTTTTAAAATGTTACCTTTATGCCCTTAGGCCACTTTGGCTCATCGGTTGCATCTTACTTCATCTTTCTGCGATGGATGTATGGCATGAACCTTGTCCTGTTTGGCCTAACCTTTGGGCTGGTGGTCATTCCTGAGGTGAAACAATGTACTCAAGGTTTAATCACGTAAAAGCAACTGGCAAAATCATTTTAATTTTGATTCAACCAATGCTTATTTTCTAGGTTCTGATGGGTCTTCCCTAYGGGTCTATTCCCAGGAAGACTGTCCCCAGGGCAGAACAAGACACCGCAATGGATTATTCTGTCCTCATGGACTTTAATGTGAGTTTAGTACAACTTCCATCCTTTACCGCTTATCCGTAGTCCGGTCGCAAAGGCAATGAAAGACTCTCGAGCTTCTTCTGGGGGAACCTWAGGTCTTTCTAGTCCAGATAGGACACACTGTATATTCCCTTAAACAAAATCTGGGTCTGCTTTGAAGGCACACCAACACTAACTCTGCAAACCACCCCAGTACACTTTGAAGGTCACCTAATGTGACTTTTGAAGTCAATGATAACAAAGAAGAAGGTTGCAAAACCAAAATGAAACATTATTTTTCCCTTTCAGGGCTACTGTAAATACTCTGTCCTCTTCTACGGATATTATAATGACCAGAGGACCATCGGTTTGCTGAAGTTCAGGCTGCCTCTGTCCTACCTCATGGTGGGAGTAGGCAGCTTTGGCTACAGCCTGATGCTTGTGATCCGGACGTGAGTCTTAAGCACAGCAGAAAGGCTTTGTTCACTTAGGAGCAAACATGTTCAGATCATTGGGTTGTTTTTGTCACTCAGAATGGCCAAAAATGCTGATGTAGGTGGTGGTGATGGAGAGGAGGGGGAGTTCACTTTCGCCTGGAAGATGTTCACCAGCTGGGACTACCTCATCGGCAATGCAGAAACCGCAGACAACAAGTACGCCTCCATCACCACCAGCTTCAAGGTAGCAACCCTACAACTCCTTAGACCCAAAGATCTTTGCTTTTACCAACAGTCGGTACCTTCTGTGCTTGGATAAGAACAGGAGTCCATCGTGGAYGAGCAGGAGAACCAGAAGGATGAGAACATTCACCTGCGGCGGTTCCTCAGAGTCTTGGCTAATTTCCTGATCACCTGTAGCCTTGGTGGGAGCGGATACCTCATCTACTTTGTGGTGAAGAGATCTCAGGAGTTTGCCACGAGGGATGACCTCAGCTGGTATGAGAAGAACGAGGTAAMGGCAGTCGGAATATGAGTCCTGTAACAAGCGTTTAGACCAAAGATCTCATAAAGTATGTGTGGTTATTGTCTGTTTCACTAGTTGGAGATCATCATGTCCCTGCTGGGCCTGGTGTGTCCRCCTCTGTTTGAGACGATCGCTGAGCTGGAGGACTACCATCCTCGAATTGCCCTCAAGTGGCAGCTAGGACGCATTTTTGCCCTGTTCCTTGGGAACCTCTACACCTTCCTGTTTGCCCTGTTTGATGAAGTCAACAACAAGGYATGCTAGCATTTTATGAGTTTCTTGTAAGTAGAAAGCAAGTGACTGACAAGTCGTTTTCTTTAGCTTGAAGAAGAGGAATCCATCAAGAATGCCTCCATCTGGGCCATAAAGGAGTACTACGCCAACTTTTCGCTTTCAATGATCAATGACACTGATGCCACTCCACCACCAATGAACCCTGCAGACGTCATCAGAGGACCCTGCTGGGAAACAGCCGTTGGCATCGTAATAAAAATGTCTTTATATGTTTAGGTTATGATGTAAACTGACTGGGTTGTAACCATTTTTGTATTTAGGTTGATTCGATGTGGTGGCCATCTTGAATTGGATGGCGTTATAGATGTTCATCCTGAGTTTCATTACAATCTGTYCACTGGTTCATTACATATTCTGGTAAAAAGCATCACGTATGTAATTAACATTCACTCTGATGTAGGAGTTCGTGAAGCTGACGGTGTCGGACATCCAGGTGACCTACCTGACCATCCTGATCGGGGACTTCGCCAGAGCCGTCATTGTTCGTTTCCTCAACTACTGCTGGTGCTGGGACCTGGAAGCTGGATTTGTGAGTCTGTTAGYTGCTGCCTCCACTGCCGCAGAGATTTTAAAGTCTGTGTGTCGTTAAAGGTTCTGTTTTGATCATTTTCAGCCATCATACGGAGAGTTTGACATCAGTGGAAACGTTCTTGGATTGGTTTTCAATCAAGGGATGATTTGGTATAAACTTTWTTATTATGCATGTTGGACTGTCTTCAATTGAACTGGATTTACTGAATCAAACAGGAAAATATTGAACTAAACTGAATTGACTGCCTGTGACATTATTTGAATCTGATACTTTTGGATTCAATTTTATTTACCGTTATTTAACCAGGCAGGTCCCGTTGAGTCGAGGAGGAGGTCCTGYCCCAAATGGAGGAGTTTAAGTATCTTGGGGTCTTGTTCRCGAAARAGGGARGAATGGAGCGGGAGATCGACAGGCGGATTGGTGCCGATCTGTCRTGGTGAAGCGAGAGCTGAGCCAGAAGGTGAAGCTCTCGGTTTACCGGTCGGTCTACGTTCTWCTCTCATCTATGGTCATGAACTTTGAGTAGTGACCGAAAGAACAAGATCACACATACAAGCGGAAGAAATGAGTTTTCTTCGCAGGGTGTCTGGGCTCTCCCTTAGAGATAGGSTGAGAAGCTCAGTCATCCAGGAGGGACTCAAAGTAGAGCCGCTGCTCCTCCAYGTTGAGGAGCCAGTTGAGGTGGTTCATCTGGTTAGGATGCCTCCTGGACGCCTCCCTGGTGAGGTGTTCTGGACATGTCCCACAGGGAGGAGGCCCAGAGGAAGACCCAGGACACGCTGGAGGGACTATGTTTCTCAGCCTGGGAACCCTTTGGGATTCCCCCGGACGAGCTGGTCCAAGTGGCTGGAGAGAGGGAAGTCTGGGTCTCTCTGTTTAGGCTGCTGCCCCCGAGACCCGATCCCAGATAAGCGGCAGAAAACGGACGGATGGAAGAAGTCCCGTCGAGGTCACAGATCTCTTTTTCAAGGGAGGCCTGGAGGCAACCTATTCTACATGTTTTTTGGGGTGGGGGAAACCGGAGTACCCTGACACAAGCACGAGGAGAACATGCAAACTCCACACAGAAAGACCCCAGGTCCAAACCTGGGACTGAACCCAAGACTTTCTTGCTGTGAGGCGTCKGTGCTAACCACTGAGCCCTCATACTGCCCAACTGTGTAAACTGTGATTGAACTAAATTGGAATATATTAAAATGAAGTAAATTTAAATATTTAATAAAAAACAGAATTAAATTATAAAGTTGTTCTCCTAAGTTCTATATTTTTTCTCAGAATTCTAACTGTGATCTTAAAATTCAGATTTTGTTTCTCAGAATTGAGATTTTTTTTCAGAATTCTGACTTTGATTTTGAAATTTTGACTCTGATCAAATTCAAAAATTTTCCTCTCAGATTTCAGATTTTTTTCTTCATAATTGATTTTGATTTTAGAATTCAGATCCGCCCCCTCAGAATTCAGACTTTTTTCCCTCAGAATTCWGACTTTGTTCTCAGAATAATTTTTTTTTTTTAGAATTCTGTCTTTAATCTAAAAAAAGGTCAGAACTCAGGATAAACTTTTTTTTGCCCTGTGACCATAATCCATCTACTGTAAATCGAGATGCTTATGATTGGATTTGAATCTGACTCACTTGGAAAAAGTAGTGATTGGACTGAACTGGGATGAATTTGACTACTGAATCAGCTTTACTCAAATTACATTTAAACGTACTGAACTGGAATAAATGACACACACTGTAAATAAATTAGACTTGAATTATCTTTAATCCTAATGAACAAACTCTTTAATTATTCAGCTGTCCTCCCTGAAGGTAAAAGCCTCACATTTATCTGTTTAGGATGGGAGCGTTTTACGCCCCTGGGCTCGTTGGCATCAACGTGCTCCGCCTCCTGAGCTCCATGTACTACCAGTGTTGGGCCGTGATGGCCACAAACGTCCCGCATGAGCGAGTGTTCAAGGCCTCCAAGTCCAATAATTTCTACATGGGTCTTCTGCTCCTCATCCTCTTCCTCAGTCTGCTACCGGTGGTCTACACCATCATGACACTACCGCCTTCGTTTGACTGCGGACCCTTCAGGTAAGCTGCCCACTGACCTGCTTCAAAACGTCTTTAGGGCCAAATTTGTCACAAAGTGATGTTGGTGTCCGAGCAGCGGGAAACCCAAGATGTTCGACGTGATCATGGAAACCATAGACCTGGACCTGCCGGCTTTCATGGGGACGCTTTTCAGCTATGCGGCCAACCCCGGCCTCATCATCCCAGCCGTGCTGCTCATGGTGTAAGAGCCGTTTCATTACAGCTGAAAAACYAAGATCCACACGACAGAACCAGGACAAAAACAACTAATCCTGTCGTCTCTTCCAGACTGGCCATCTATTACCTGAACTCTGTGTCTGAAGCCTACCAGAACTCCAACATGGAGCTGAAGAAGAAGATGCAGATGGTGAGATTCAGCCTGGCTAAATAAGCTAAACCAGGAAGTTGTTTTATTTTCAGAGTAGAAAGTACGACGTTTACAGAATCCTGAAGTTTTGTTCTGTGTTTTTAGGCTCGGGATGAAGAGAAGAACAAGAGGAACAACAAAGACAGCACCAACCAGGTTCTGAAAGACTTGGAGGACCTGATGCCAAACAGGTCCCTCGCTCCTCCTGCTCCACCAGAACCGGGTCAGGATCACCCTGTACAGCTGTTCTGATCATTACCTCAGGAATTATTCAACAAAACAAAAATTAGATTGAGTTAAAGAACAAATGTTTTTGTTTTCCGCTTGAACAGAAAAACCTCCAGAAGCGGAGGGGAAAGCCATGAAGGCAAAAGCCGGGTCGGCGGGTAGAGGTGTTCATCTGCAGAAAGACGTGGCTCTGGCCGCTTCGAACCCCGGAGCTCGAGGGCCTGTCGACCGCCCGCCGGGGCCCAGAGGACCCGGACCGGCTCAGGGTCCGGGTCCTGGAGCAGGTCGAGGCCGTGGGAGAGGAGCTCCCCCCAGATAACACCATGAAGAAAATTTGGGTCTCCTCTGCTGGAGACTGATAAAATCTGTAAATTTAATACAAAAGAATCTGAACAAGCTCCTCCCACAAAATAATCTAAATAAATAATGTATAAAAATCTACCTTTAAATTTGATTAATCATAAAGATTTAATAATTATATAATCTGATGTTTTTTTAGCTGACAGTGTTAGCCTCATGTGTTGCTAATTAAAGCTAATATGCTAATAAAGCGCTAACATACCTTTTGATTGAACTTGTAGTGTTTCAGGTTTAATTAGCACTGTTAGCAATATTTCTCTCTGATTCTTCAAACTGAGATCACTTCAAACAGCTTCCTACTGCAGGTAAAATACTTACTGTTCGAGCACCTGATATTACCTCATTAAAAAAAGCTGAAACGTCCTTTTAAGTGATGTTTTACACAACAATAGAGATTAAACACTGAATTCCCTATTTTTACACTTTAATCTCAATAAAATACAATAAAAATGTTTTGTTGCTTTATTTTTTTGCCGCATCAGGATTTTTACAAATGTTGAATTTTTGCTTTTGTTTGGTTATTTTACCTTTTAGCTGTGGTTTATTAACTCTAGTTTTTAGTTACTCCTGATCATTTAGATACCCTTTTAGAAATTTTAGCATTTAGATGTGATTTGGCTCATATTAGCTTTAGCTACTATTTTTATCTTTTGCTATGGATTTGCTAAATTTGACTTTTGGCTACTGTTTAGTATATTTCATCCTTTATTTAGACTTTTGCTCATTTTAGCTTTAAGTTGCTGTTTTGTGTTTTTGGCTATGAGGTTTGCTAATTTGAACCTTTAGCTATACTTTAAAATTACCTTTTAGCTTCTGTTTGGCTAATTTTAGCTTTTAGTCACTGTTTATTTTATTTCTGCTTTTAGCTATCGTTGCTAAGTTTAGCTTTTAACTGTAGCTCTGCTAACTTAGCTTGTGGATGCAATAATGCTAAATTAAGTGTTTAGCTACAGGTATGCTAGTTTTAGATGTAATTYTGTTTTGATTAGTTTTTAGCTCGTGTTCTGCTTATTTTATCTTTTATAAACAGGCTCATTTTACTTTGAGCTACTTTTTTTCTCATTTTGTTCCTTTTAGCTGTTCTTTGTTTGAACTTCGGCTCATTCGTTCAGCACTCAGCTGCAGTTTTTTTTTTTTTACCTGGCTCAGGTGAGGTAAATGTTTTGATTAAACTGAAAAAACCTGTCAGAAGAAAAACGCGGTCCTTCAGGTTCTGGTTCTGGGTGGGCCCGGCTGCTCTGCGGCTGTTTGTATGAGTAATAATAAAGGCTAAAGCCTTAATCAGAGCAGACGAGTCACCTGGAAGGGARGCAGCTGATTGGCTGATGCCTCACAGGTGGAACTACCTGATGATCACAGGAGTGGGCGGAGCCTCTGAGGTGTGATTTGAACACTGAAGCAGATCTCAGATCTCAGAGTGAAGGCAGCCTTTTGTTGTGCAGGTAAGACTTACTATTACTGAATGGATTTTATAGAAAATCTCAGTAAATTTACAACTGATTCATGTTTAGACTTGATCCAATTCAAGATGGCCGCCACAGCTAACTGACCTTAAACACAAACAGGATTTTAAATCTGTTAGTTTTGCAGCTAAACTTTAGTGTGGTAGTAGATGAAAGTCATGTCCAACACATCGTTCATTTAAATATTATTTTAAAGTTAAATGTTCCAGTATTTTTAATTTCCACACTTTTTGTAAAAACTTTTCCTCCTCAACTTGTCTGAATCAACTTCCTGTTTTATTTTGTGAGACTTACGTTTGAAATGTTTCCTGTTCCACACCTGTTCAGGCCAACATTTTAATTTAATTTTTTTTTTTTGCAGTTTGAGCCTTTCAAATTAAAAATGGCTTTCTTCAAAAAGTTCTTTAATAACATCGTTCACGACCGCGGCTCGAAGGATGCCACCGTCACCGTGAGTGCAGCGAGAAAACCAAACCCTGMTGCAGTTTCAAATTGTGGCCAGAAACCTGAATATGTTGCTTTTCATTAAAAATAAAYTGYTTTTGTTATTGTTTGTGCAGGTGAAGGACAAACCGAAGCCTACATATTACGGGACAGTAACTCCGTATCCTAACTTCAATGCCAGCAGTGATGTTTCTGTCCTTCGGAGTGCCATAGAAAGTAAAAGTACGTCTTTTACTTTAAAAGTCTTAAAATACAACCAAAACATGTTYCTGAATTCATGAAATGTTCAGTAATTTCAAAATGACTAAGGCTAACTGTGAGCATCATGAAGAACTTGATAAATCAGCCCACGTTACAGAATGTTGGGGCGGCTGKGTTAGAGWGGTTAGGGGAGTCGTCCCGGAACCGGAAGGTTGCCGGTTCGATCCCCGTCCAGTCGACTCAGTCATTGTGTCCTTGGGCAAGACACCTTACCTGCCTTGCCTACTGATGGTGGCGCCTGCGTATGGCAGCCTCGCCTCTGTCGGTGTGCCCCAGGGCAGCTGTGGCTACAGTTGTAGTTTGCCATCATCAGTGTGTGAATGGGTGTCCTGGATGGATAGAAAGGCGCTATTTAAGTACAGTACATTTACCATTTACCAATGTTCTGTTTTTAAACTTTAATTATTTTAAGACGTCTGGTCTTTATGGAAACTCAAAGGACTTGTCTCTAACAGGAGTGGACGAGGACGTGATTGTCGCCGTCTTGGTGAAAAGGAGCAACGAGCAAAGACAAATGATCAAAGCTGTTTATGAATCAAACACTGGGAAGGTATTTTTTATTTTTTTAAATTGGTGCTTCATAATGGTTGTATTTTTTTTTTTTAGGAACTGTAACTAAAAGACTTTAATTGGCTGCAATATAAAAATCACCACTAGGTGGCAGAATATCTCAAAACTGGATATTAAGCTAACCAAATTTATTTGTACAGGTTTTACAATCCAACTACATTGTGCTATTTTAGTTGCTGAGACTTACAT